GAGGACGACAAAAAGACAAGCAAGGCCAAGAAGGGCAAGGAGCAAGATGATGAAGTTCAGGTTGAGGAGACCAAACCAGGGAAGCCAAAAGAAAAGAAGCAACAAAAGGGCAAGGAGGAGGAACAGGAGAAGGAGGCAAAGGCAAAGCCGGGTGTGAACAAGGCATCCAAGAAGAAGGATTCAGAGAACAATGCTTCAGAGATGAAGAAAAAGGGCAAGGAAGAATCAGAAGACAAGCCAACGAACAAGAAGCAGAACGAGAACAAACGCAATGGAAAGGCCAAGCAAGAACCAAAGAAGTCCGGCGCATCCAAGGGCTCTGGAGAGATTGAAGAGAAAGGCGAGGATGGGGAAGAACCTCCAAAGCAAAAGAGAAGCTTGGCAGCAAAAGCAAAGAATGGCAAAGGCGCAAAGAAAGCAAACAATACTCAAGGAGAGGCTGGTGGAAAGGGTACAAATGTGCCAAAACCGAGCATTGCAGCAAGAGCCTTGGGCTTGCCAGAAGCCGTTGGAGCCAGGCCTGCCAAAAGGGCCAAGACTGCAGAAAAGCCAAAGGCACATGGTTCCAAAGCTGAGGGTGTTGAAGATGAAGATGAGGAACCAAATGATGGAAGTGAAGAGGAAAGCGAAGAGGGCAGCGAGAAGACTCTGCGTTTGGGGGAGGAGACAAAATACGCAAACATGTGTCAATTCTTCAATGCCTAACTTCCAGACTATTCATTTGCTCTTTCAGCTGGAGTTTCAATCCTTTGACAAATGAGTCAGCTAAAAAAATACAACGATTGCACCATAAACCTGTTTAGCTCAGAACTCTTGCTCTTTCAATCATGTTTCCATTCAGCTGCCAAGCCCCAGGCCCTCCCGACCACATTGCAGGAGCCGAAGCAGCCAAAGCCCAAAAGGAAACCTCAGGTGACACTCAGTTGGTTGATCCATACAGTGTTACACTTCGTACATCTTCATGATAGACTTGGTGGCATCAGATCTGATTCTTCCCAGGCCAATTCTACGTTGATGGATGCCTTCCAGCGATACCTCAAAACTGAGCTCGCTGCATTGGCTGAAACCGACCCTGAAAAGACGCCGCGTGAACGCCTTCAAATGGCACGTCGGAAGCGCAAAGCTCAGAATATCTCGGAGCGTTTTGAGAGCCAGTTCTCAACATCTCCCAACGGATGGAACGTGTATGAACACTGGATTTCACTCAGTTATTCTGAATTCTGAGCTTTTGCTGCAGGTGGCGGACGCATCCTGATCGTGTGAAGACCATGGAGCAGATGACGCCAAGTCAGCTGTCCCGTAGGCGGCTGAAACTCACAGTGTCTGCCCCAGCGGATGCTGAATGATGGATAGCTTTGGCTTGGGCCCGTGAGTAGGGTGCTCTAGTTTCAAAGGCAGCTTGGTGTTGATCACTGTATCAACAGCCTGGAAGATAACCAAGTCATGTGTAGTCAACACTCTCAACACTCAACAATACTCAACACACATTCCATTTTCTGGTATTTGGTTTGAAGGGTGAAATCTCAGTTGTTTCCCACGCAAGCTGTGAGCCTACGTACGAGGATACCATGAGCCTAGTTAGTTGCAGGGGTCACTGCTCGAACAAGTGCAGTGCATATTCTCACCGCATTCTTAGACCTGAGGCGGGGTGAATCCTGTGTCTCAGACCGAATGCTTTTGGGGTGGTGAAATGAATTGCACCAGGGTTTGAAGATGTTTGAAGCATTGAGTATATGCCCAATTTATATATCTTGGCAACAATGTAGTAGAGAATACGTACACTCATGCCTATTCTGGCTCCCACCAGGAGATCTGGATCACATCATGGCCTGCAATTGGCACTCGGATCAGGATGAGGTTGTGATGGAGGTCCAGGCCCTCACTGAATTTAGCCCTTGCAATGATCAATTCATCAATTCGACTTGGTTCATCCCTGATTCATGCATATCCTGCCCCTTGAAGAAAGGAAAAAGCATGGTTGACACAGATCGGAGCACATGGCAGAGACTGTCAACCGAATTCGAAGATGAGGGCTTCCATGACCTGGGTATCAATGGACACACTTACTGCAAGAAAGGGAAAGTGGACTCAGGCGGGCCCCTGTTCACATTACAATCTTACCAGCTCTCCTCAAGCTTGGCATGAGAGGTGAAGACCGTTGGCAAATCGCCCCAAAAGCCTCACAGGCCAGAATTTGTTGCTTCCCTTGTGCTAGTATCCATTCAAGGTTCTTTCAACTTGGATTCGATATCATTCATTGGGATACTATTGGCCTGACAAAGAATGTCTTGTAGAGGGCAATAAATTTTAGGTTGACCTTAGAGCCTTTACTGCAGCCTGTCACACAGGTATTCTATACGTGGTCACATCCGGGCTCCATCAACGGGCTGCGATACTCATCTCTAGCTTCGGTATTCAACGTCGCTGAATCCCAGCTGCAACAAAACGGTTGCTTCCCTCATGTTTGCACCGGTGAATGAAGCATTGCAAGGAGCTGGAGAATAGTCGCTTCCTACACAGGATTTGGAGGGTCGCCTACCTGAAAGAGGCGAAGGACATTTGACAGCAACATATTGGCCAAGGTTTGAGCAACATCTTTGGTTTGAGCATGCTTGAGCTATTGCCTTCAGCCTGCTTCATCTAAGGAGTTCACGCCAAGAAGCATGGAACAAATTAGTTGACATACTGAAACACACACCCTGAAACTGTTTTGCGGACAGCTACCTGATCCTGTTTGAGACTACTCTGTCTGAGGGAAACCTCTATACTATGTGAAGGAGAACGTGACATTGAAAGAGAACCAGGTAATTCGAATGATCTAGCTTCCCGCGGAAAAGGCTCCAACATGTTCAAACTATTGGACCTATAAGTTCATTGCATTTAGTTTGTGGAATTGGTTGAGGATTGACACAAGCACCTTTAAAGCTTTAAAGTTGGACATCAGGGCTTTGCATTTTGCATCTGGCGAGAGCCCTGAAAACCGGGGCAGATCTTGTGAAATTCTAGCTGGCTGTTGAATCGTGGTTGTGGCGTTCTTGTACCAACTAATTCAACCAGTTGTTGTTCCTGTGTGCTTTTGTTCTCCATGATGAGTAGACTCAACCACATTTTGGGATGTGAACATGCCGGAGTGCTCAAACACAAGATCATGAGAAACGCGAAAAGCACAAAAGGGTGTCTCGATGGCACAACATGAATTTGCAAAGTGCAGTTTCAGTTTCACAACGAATGGAAGATGTTTAATTGGTGTATCAAATTGTACCGGAAGATAGCCAGTTGGATAAACTAGCTGTGGTCCTTCAAATGCCCCCCCAATTTTCTCGGCCGCAACGGACTTGCTCGGATCGCCCGTGCCCAGATGGCCCAGACCCACTTAGCTGTCACAAGGTCAGTTGTGCATCTCCTTCTGAATTGATTACATTTGATTACACCCAGACCTGAACTTTGTTGTGTTTCAAGTGCCTTTGCCAACAACCTAGCATACAAAAGGTCTCTTTGCTGAGCGCCGCCCTCATGCCGAAAGATGGCCTCAGGAAACTATATCTTGACATAAAAGTTCATGAGAAAGGGCCACTGCGGCGTAAAGCTCTTCAAAAAGTCTATGATCTTAAGAGACCCATGGTGCACTTATTGCACACCTAGTTGTTCATCATAGCAAGAAACTGTTCGAATTCCTTTATACAACACCCTTGCAGTCCAACTAAGGAAAGGAAAGAAACCGTGAAAAGAAGAGACTGAGCGGAGATTCTCAAATAGCTACATGGGACCCATATGATTACGACCGTTCCGACGCCCAACCATTGGAAGATCCTTTGTCTAGCCAAAGTGCATTGTGTGCCAACTGCTTGTTTGAGTCAATGCAAAGAGGGAAGGACCCCAACTGTAAGATACAAAAAGCACTGACTCAATCGCAAAAGCAGTACCTCGAGACAGGGTACAAGGAGATGGAGACACTCACTCATGAGGCCTATGCGCTCCGCTGCTCAGCTCGTAGCTAGCGTTTTGTGTCCAATCATTATCTTCAAAGATTTTCAAAGCAATTTCTACAAAAAGTTCAACCCTGTAAGACCTGTAAGACCCGAGGCCAGCAAGTGATCCAATTGGAGAATGAGAATCGCCGATTGAAAGCTTCGATGGGTCATCGGTCCAGAAAGTGATCGAATGCTTTCATAGCATTGAAAGAACCAGGGGTGTTTGCACCACTGCAACCTGCAGCTGGGGTAGCCTGTGGGACTGGTGCAAAACAAAGACCGCTCTCACTCAAGTGCGCCTTGCAATCTCGACATGAGTTTGATGATCGTACGTGCATGTCCACCTGTTATTTGGTGCCTGCTCCTGACTATGAAGCCTGAGGCCATCATCGCTAGAAAACCTACTGCTTCAAACAGGAGGCTATGGTAAGTGTAACACCTTACTTGTGAACATGTTTCCACTTGCTCCCGCCAATGCTGGACAATTCAAAGCGGCCAGGAACACACGATGTTCTGAATCTTCTTATCTTGACATTTTGAGGCCTGGCACTCTAATCAAGAAAAGCTGCTGCACCATTGGGCATTGACCTGCGCAATATCTTACAGTAAACTATTCCATGTCGTAATTTGTTGAAGGAGAGATCGTGCGAACTTGCGTAATATATTTTGGCTGGTGCTAGATGGATCGTATGGACCGTAATATCCTTAGGCCGGCGCCGGCCTAGACTGCTGGCTGAGACCGGCGCCGGCTCGACCGGCGCCGGCTCGACCGGCGCCGGCTTGACCGGCGCCGGCCCGATCTATGCTTTTGACCGGCGCCGGCTTCATACCGGCGCCGGCTGGTTTAGTGGCTTGTGCTGCTTTATGTTGAAATTCATTCCTGTAAGGTATGCTTTGATGTGAGATTGTCTATTCCCGCCTTTGCCCAATGGTCCAGCACATTTTTTTGTTTGTTTCCTTTCAATCACATTGCCCGCCCAAGCCTTCCTTGTTTAAGCAGTGCCAGGAAGCATTGCTCGACAAGATTGGGTGGCGCTTTCTGAGAGAATGGCATCCTGAAAATGTGATCAACATTTCACCAGTTGAACATACTTGAACAATGCAAGTGCATGATGTTTGTTGAGCTGTTAAAGTTGATTGTTGTGCTGCAGACTGCTGGATAGACGTCGACGGCAGCTCACGAAAAAACAACCGAGCAGCATCAAGCAACTGATTCTGAATCCTTTGCCCGACTTGCCTTGCTTTTTGCATGGCTTCCACCCAAGGTCTCACCAAAAACCATGGGACCCAAATGCAATTATATAAGACCCAAATACAACTAAAACTACTTAAATATGATATAATCATGGTTGATTCAATGTAAAGGTCTCGTCGCTGTCTGGTCGTTTTCAAGTAGACGTGCTGTCGTGAATCTGAATTCTGCCCGTCCGCACGGACCGTGAGGGACTTGAGATCATATGAGAATCCGAAAAAAATGGGTCACGACTTGGTGCAGTCTGACGACCACTCCAATGTGTCGGTCACGAAGAGTTCGGCTCAGGCACCCACAGTTCGACCAGGTCGTTCAGGGCCATATCTGGACTCGCCAAAAGCTGGGTAGACCTCCTGACCAACTGATCGGTTTCAGATCGCCTCCTGATCACTTGAAGGTACCTGTTTTTTTTTCAGGCTCTAGATCTTCCTACTGTTGCAACACTTCTGCTGAGCTTGGCTTGGAATCGGAATGAACAGGCAGACTGAGCTTGCAGACTGAGTAGACTGGAAGATCCAGGTGGACCCGTGGCTTTCGATGAGGTCCCTGGCAGTCCCTTTCTTCGAAAGCATGCCAGTCAGGGACGAAGACTTGCAATCAGCGTGATGATCACGGTTTTTCACGGCCCAGTCTGTCCGGGTTTCGAAGAAACACTCCAGGAATGACCCGAGAGACCTCATGCGTCCATGCTTGGTGGGCATGCGTCCGACAAAAATCGCTTCGAAGTGAACAGAATCCTTTGTACGCCATGTCAACCTACTGCTTTTGGTTTCAAGCGATTCGGGCGATTCGGTTTCGAGTGGCGCACCCAAGGCTTGAGATCCACAGAAAGACGTTTGGAATCCCGTACCTTGCGCTCATGGTCCATGTCCGCAGGGAATTCAGGCCCATCAGCAGGTTCCCCGTGTTTTTTTTCAGATCGATTTGCCATGGACGAACGCCGCGCGCACGCCGCTTGACATGAAACGCGGTGACGGTCTATTTCGCCACGCGGCGGGCGAAATCACATGGATCCCTCCATTTGTTTGCGGTGTCCACAGACCTGCTACTGTAGGGTTTAGGGTTTGGGTTTAGGGCAGGTCTTCATACCTGGATCTTCCACCACATATGCACAATGGATCAACATAGACCTGTTTTCCGGCCGGTTTTTGGGATGAACAGGTATGTTGTATCTTGGGTAGGGACGAACCGTGAACCATTCCCAGTCGTAAACGGACCTCATTTCACATGGGTCCAGACAAATAACAGTCACATCCAGTCATACAAACAATCACAAGGCAGTATTCGAGTCCAGTATAGAGTTTCATTCTCCGTCCTGCCGCGCCGCGATCGAGGCCATCGAGCGCCTGAGAGCGGCAGCGGCTCAACGGGAGCGGAACTTGGAACACTTCGTGAAAGAACTTCAACATGCCATGCATCTTGGAAGCGATGAAGCGATGACATGGAGGGCCAAGCGATGACAGAGAAAAACAGAGCCAAAAGAAGTCGGACTTCGGGTTCAGGAAGTTTTTGGGATGTTCTTCCTTCGGTGTTCTGAAGAACCACATTATATACTGACACTTCTTGTATGAGGGTGTGGGCGGGGTCTTCGCCTTTTGGCCAATCCACCCAGCTTCGCTTCCCGCGGCACCAGACCGCGTGCCACTGCTGCCGTCCCAGGAAGGAGCTGCACGTGCCACTGGCGGATCGGAGCTTCCGGAGCAAGTTCAGCCGGAACTACCGCGTCCTCTTCCAGGCTCCGGAGAGAAAACATTCCCGTCCTCCTCTTCTGCCGGGTCCACCGGGAGGATGCAGACAGGAAGGTGTTGTTGTTTTGGGAAGGTGTCAGGGGGCGAAGTCGAGATGACGCGGAGGACAGCGTCGGTGGTCGATTCACCGAATCGCGTTGGTGTTTTCTTTGTTTTTGCGCCAGGACTGAACCGTTTTCTTGGCGATGATTGTTTGTGTGTTTTTGAGTGAACGAATTACAATTCTACTGGAAAGCCAAACGCCCAAACTTTTCGGGTCATTGTGGGAAAACGCCGTAACGTTATGTTTTTTGTCTAAATAACATGATCCAAGGGCATGGTCAAGTTTTCAACAGAGTATGGCAGGCCTACCCGTAGCAAAACCGTAAAAAGCCGTGGCAACTCTCATAGAAGCGACTCCAGATCCTCAAAGCCGTACTGTATTGACCGAAAAACATCGTCAAGGCCGCTTTACAAGAAACACATATATAGATGGTATGGTTGTGGCTTTGAGACCTGGCCTTATAGCGCGACTTGCGTCCCTGTCCGTCACAGCCTTGCCAGGCAGTGATAGACCTGGCCTTATAACAGTCCAGCCAAAGGGTTGATAGACTCCTCCCCGTTGTCCATGCGTGTTCGGTGTGTTCCACCCCGCCCCCCAGCACCATGGCGAGCGCGTGGAGGTTTCAGGAACTTGAAGGGGGCCCCCTTAAGGGGGTGCTTCAGGGGACGAAAGCACGTTTGCTTCATGTTTGGTGGGACAAACACGCTGCAAACGTGAGTCCGTCCGGACTCGCTGAGACCGATCCCCCGATTTCTTCTTCCGGACCGAAGACACCGCTTTGGGCGGCGCTTTGGGTGGCGGGTCGAATGAGGCGAAGCGACAGGAGCGGGTCAAGATATGGTCAGGTTTGGGACTTGTAACATGCAGGTTCAGGTCCATTAGCCCACTATTGGGCACCTATTTGATCTTGAGTGGCGGAGCGCCGTTTCTGGTCCACCCTGGTGTCGAAGCCTCGGCCTCGTGGCGGTGGCGAGTGCGAATCTCAATGGTGGGAGGCGAATCCCAATGGCTACCGAGTGGAAGTGTTGGAATCGGTGCTGGACTTGAGCGCCGAGATTTGGGTGAACAGCTGGGGGCCCAGATCGGACTTGGCCGCGGAGTGGTTTTGGGAGGTGGAATGCGGTGTGGTGGCATTCTCTTGTGGAAGACGGGGGGGGGAAGGCACTGAGTGATTGAAGCGCTCTTTTTGGGGCAGGGGAGCGCTTTTTGGGCAAGTAATGACTCGAGGGTGAAGAATACAACTTCTTGGCTTCTCAGTTGCCAGACAAGCTGGAGTAGACTCGACTCCATAAAAAAACACCAGCAACATGACTCAGAAGTAAAATTATTCAACACATTTCCGTGGTAAGAATCTACTGTATGTACTCACATATGGAAACGTACACTGTGGTGCATATTTGATATCCATTAGTTCTTAGCGGATTGGTGGAGTGCAATCACACCAGCAACCCACAAAAAGTCCTATATATGGACATGTTAACATTCAGGAGGTTGTTGGGCGCCACTTAGAAGGCAAGAACCAATCATGCAGCATGTTTGTGTTTCAACTGGTCACGGTCAAGTCAATCGACTATTATTACTACTTATTCTTATTCTTATTTTTATTACTATTTGTTGTTGTTGTCGGCGTCGTTTTGGTTGTGGTTGTGGTGGTGGTCGTGGTCGTGGTCATGGTTGCGGTTGCGATTGGTTGGTTGATTGGTTGGTTGGTTTGTTGGTTGTTGTTGTCGTCGGCGACGTCGTCGTCGTTGTTGTCCTTGTTCTCAGGTGATCCCTGTCTATGTGAACGTGTAAGAAACTAGCAAGCAGTCCAGCCGATTGAGTATCCAGTTGGTTGTTTCAAGTTTCTTAGACACTTGTTGTGCCCAGCTGGTGGTTCGTTGCAGCTATGTTTCCAGCTGCAGTCTTCAGTGAGGCAGTCTCCTTGACCCAACCGGTTGGGAAATACCAGGAGTTCCATGTCGGGGCGCCGAACTTGAAGGGGCCATTAGGGACTAACCACTGGAACTTCTGGTATTGGGGTGTTGCGAAGACGTTCTCTTTCAGATGCAGGAGCTTTGCAGGGGACTTGAAATCAAGCCAACGCCGCGGAACCAAACTTCACCGAGAGCGGGCAAATGTATGGATCTCTTCTGGCCATCATTGATTTAATTGTTATGACGGCTGCATAAATCCCACCTACCTAGACAATACAACATCTCAAATACTCTTATTCCAGCACCTTCCGTTCGGGGTTTCCACTGGACCCTACACTACTTGGTGGCTCTCCACAAAGGCTCACCCCTTAGAAGATCCACGGTTTTTTCGGCTCTGGTGAGTCATCCACGCCCAGGACGCATTCACTACATCACCGGCCTGGCCATGAGGAAGGCCGGGAACCAGCCGCAAAGTCCTGGAGGACGGATCTCACTCCAGAGGAGCGTGCAAAGGGGATTTGTCGCTCCAGGCGCAAGGTGAGAATGTATGAGAATGGCATCTCTCTCTCTCTCTCTCTCTGTCTGTCTGGCTGCCTGGCTGTCTGGCTGCCTGGCTGTCTGTTTGTCTGTCTGTCTGTGCACCAGGCTGGTTATTTAGAAGCAAGTGTTTGAACATGCAGGGGCTTTGGGGCAACAAAAAGCAGGTTGCATAGGATTCCCAGCGAGTCGCAGCTCAAGACACGACGAGTGCTAAGAAGAAGAGTGGGTACCCCCTTTCCACCACACTTCATCTGCCAGCACCTCCAACAGGTCACCAATTGAAACCTGTTAGGGCCAAACAACCCTCCATGCTGGAGACCTGTTGGTTTCGGTGCTGGTGCGTTTTCGTCTCACACGAAGTTCGCTGCGTTTGAGTCTCTTTGGGAGGGCTATTTCCTGCAGCAGCGCCTCACAGAGCTCTTTGCAGCGCTTTCAGCCCGGGCGCTGAGAAGACAACATCCGAACCGCGCGCGTGTTCGGGTGTGATCTTGGGCGACAGGACGACCTGGAATTGGGCGAAAGGACGTCCACTGGGTCGTCCGGGGTTTGGAGAAAGTTGATTCTAAGATCTCCAAGTCTGAGCTCATCTTGCAAGCTCAGCAAGCTGAGTCAACATATTATTGTGTATGCCTGCAGCAAGTTTGCAGAACAGGCAGAACACCCCAAAAATCACCACACTCTTCCTTCCTTTCTTCAGTGAAATGAATGGCTCTCTCCACTGACCGGTCCCCAACGATGTGACTTACCATCCGGTGCCAAACCGAAGCGAAGCGACCGGGCCGACCGAGTGGCGCGTGGCGCGTATGCCGAACCCACCGGCCCAGGAGGACGGGCTGCGGGTGCGACAGGAGCTGCGACAGATGCTGCAAGACCTGGATCAGGCGGGTTGGCGGTCGGGTGGAGGTCGCCCGGCGGTTGGGTGTTCCGGTTGAAGAAGCCTAGACAACTATCCCAGACCAGCACCCTCCAGGTGGTTGAAAAGGGCACCGAAATGGTCACCAGGAAACACCTCGACTGGAGGGTCCAGGTACCAGGAGCATCCAGCACATGTGTGTCCTGGCTGGAGTAAAACTGGGGATCTCCAGGACACCCAGGGTGCTGGATGGTCGACTGGTGAACTCGCTCCAGGTCACTGAAAAACCTCCTTATGGGTACTATGGCTTGGGATTCTTCATGAGAGAGGTATCGGTTGGAAGGAGTTTTTCCCCGGTCTGACATGCTCCGGTTGATGCTTTGGACTTCTGCAGCACCTGCAGCCCCAACCTTCCCAGCCTGGGCGGTGGGAAAGGACCATCGGTTTTCCGGTGCCATGATCCACAGCTCAAGGGGTCCAGGCCAGGTTTTGGAGAAGGGTCATCTTGAACGGGGATTCTTTGGGGTGAATCCCTCCATTTTGTGGAGAGGTTTGGACTTGAACGGAATCTGTTTGATCACAAAACCAAGTTGAATGTGCAAAACTCCTTTGAGCACCAGCGAAGGGGCGGTGAAAGGGATGATTGGTTGGCCAGAGAAACGGGCTTATTGAGGACAAGATCGCATCAATCCGCCAACTTTCGGTCAAACTCGATCACTCTTCTTGCAAGAGCTGTTTTAACTATAGATGTTCATTTTTCTTTGAGGAGATCAGCAGTCCGGGTAGACATTTGACCCTATCATACTTTGCTGGTGTAGTCTAGCAAACTCACTATACCCTAGCCATTCCTCGACCCTTACAAAAAAAGAGCGCATTTTGACCTGGAAACATGTGGTGTAAAATCCTTGTGTAAAACATGGTAAAACCATGAGCTTCTTCGGAATCCTCAACTGGATTCCACCCACCCCAAACAGATCAAAAACAGATGGTGGACGACCGGAACTGGTCGAAGAGATGACACGATGGATCCCCACCCGGCGATGTCGAACGCCGAAAGCGAACGGTCGCGAACGCTTCGAACGGAAAGCTTGGCGTTTGGGCGAGGCGAACTGGCTTCAGAACTGAGGTGGACGAAGCGATGACGAACCCTTGGGTCAGTGATTCAGTGATCAGCGATAGAAGTAGATGGTCGACTTTGGTCGGTCCTTGTACAAAAGAAGAAAAAATCGAACATCATATGTCTCGATCTTTTTTACGGCGTTTTGAACCCGAAGAAAACCGGTTCTCCCAAATACCCCAGGGTTTTCATGGGTGTTCATTGGAACGGAACACAGAAAGGATCCTACTCTTGACCCCTCACCACTCGGGGGTTTGGACCGAAGCAACATGTAGCAGTTGGTTCGAAGGTCGCTCCGGGCTTCCGGGCTTGGTCTAAGTCCACCAGCACCATCGATCTGGCTGGACTACCCTCCACTACTATCCGGGATCGAACACCCAGGTCCAGGATGGTCCAGTCGTCTTTCTACGACATGTTGACGTAGCAATCGCGCCAAACAAACTTTTGGGCAAAGGCACGAGGCCATCGTCTCCCTTTTTGCCCACATTGGCCAGTCAAAGTCTCCACGCCTGGTCTCGACGCGTACGCGAGAGTCGCGTGGCGTTTTGCCGTCTTGGGAGGCTTGGATGGAATTCGAGCTCCTTTGGCCGCGCTTGGACCTGGACCTGGCTGGTTGGGTGAAGTCGTCAAGTCGGCGAAGTCGGCATGGCGAAGTCGGAAGAATCTCTGGATAGTCCAAGTCGCAACCACAAAGGGAGATGAATGGAACGAAATCCACGTCCCAGCCGGTTTCCTATGTGAAAGGGTCTCAGTCCCTGGCGCCCATATTAGGAACAACCCGAACTGTTCCTGCTTGGGACTGGGGAAATCCAGCACCCTGGGGTTCCTGGCCCAGGGCTTCCTCCATCTCGCCGGGAGATCCATGGGACCATCCACGTCCCGGTCGTGGCTGGAGGGGCTAGCCATCGGCCATTCCTTTGTAACTACATGCGGCTTTGTGGCCTGTAACTGGGTTCTTTTCCAGGCACTGTGATTCCTTTTGGTGAGCTACATTCATCTTTGGAGCAACTCATCACAGAAAAGATGCGCAAGAGAAAGGGAAAGCATATGGGCCTCTTGGCCTGGCCTTGCCATGTCCAGGCCATGTTTTCTGCACCTGTGTTTCCAAGGCTTGCCTTGCGAAAAATGGAAGGCTAACATAGGCTAACCTCAACACCTGATTGGGAGTTTGTTCAAGATCTGGGTCTTGACGGTCTTGACCATCCCCTTCAACAGCAAATCATCAGACTTGGACTCGCGACTCGCCGCTGGACTCGGGGGCTCCTCGGATGTTGGGGTTGGTCCTCGGGTCCGAGTCCTCGGGCCGTTGGCGCGTGACTTTCGCTCGGAAACGTTTGCGAAAGGTCTGAGGTTGGTGGGTTGGTGGGTGCCCTTGGGTGCCCTGATTACAACGGTCTCAGGAAGCACTACATCATGGACTTGATTGACATCGAGGCCAATCCGGTGATTCTATTCCTTTTTTCACGACTCGGAGGTCAAGCGATGTTTGACATAAAGACGACCGTGCTGTGGGTTTCGGTGGTTTAACACCTGTTTGGTCCACAGTTTTGCTGCTGTTCCTTGGCTTGGTGACTTTGCTGCGGCTCGCGGCACGACAGGCTGAAGCGCGTCAGCCCTTGGCAGAGGCCGTCAACTTGGAGTTGGCCTTAAGGGAAGCTGAGGAGAAGCGAGAAGCGAACAACGAGGAGGTGAGGAGGGTGACGAAGAAGCTTCCTAGGTCATTTTTGGGAGCAGACATCTTGAACGATGTTCAGACCAAATATCCCAGACACTCCATGGGACTGCCATAGGACTGCCGCCCCAGACAGACCCCCAGTCAACCACCCCTGGCCTGATCGGCAGTCCTATGGCAGTCCCATGGGTCGTGTCTGGGTATAGTTCTTTCATGGTCTCTCCGGAGCTTCCTGCATTTCTGCCTAACCATCTGCGACGTGAAAAAGTCTCCATTTCAGCCATTTCGGAGACCTGTAGAGTCGGGTCCAGGTGTATCATATTAGTATATCTACCTGGACCATCCAGTCGGGGTGCCCTGTCTGGAAGCCATCCTGTCGGTTGTGTGGGGTAGTCCAGGACACCCCGGTCCAGGATGGTCCTGGTATGCTTCAACTTCGCTGTTTTGTGAAATCTGAACCCTCACGCTCTCCATCGCTCGCCCCTTTCGCCTCCTCAGGTGCCTCCGCTTCGACGGCGCTTGGCACTGCATGGCTGGCCCAACGTGGTGCGCCACGCGACGCGCGCGCGCGCGGTTATGACGCGCGGGGCGTGGAGTGGGTCGAGTGGCCTCGAGAAGATGTGGGTCTCAGGGGCGGAGCAGCCTGTTCGGGTCTCTTGTGTTGGGGGAAAAAACCCTCGGCGGCAGAAACCTGGCAGAGGTTCCAGCTTTGTCCTTTAGACTTCCTTCAGTCCTTCCCAAGGGGGAAGCTTCCTTGGGGGATGATGCCATCAAAGTCTAATTTCTCTGAAACCTCCATGTAGCGTTCCTTGAAGTTATCTTGAACATCGTCCAAGCATCTAGACTGCTGTCTTCCCCACGCTTCTCTTGGCCTTTGCCCCCCCCTCTCTTCCGCATTGGCCTTTCCCCCCGCGTGGCACCGAGCGCAAACCGACCGGTCCGGTCACGTCGTTTTCCCGACCGGCGCCGCCGGATGTACGGCCGTCCGTCAGGAGGAAGCCGCCTGTGAGGACCTTCAACGGCCGGATGGACTTCCGCGCTCCTCGATGCCTTCCATCAGCACGGTGAGCCAATGGTTCGCCCGGAGGAAGAGTCGGCGAAAAAGCGACGCGTAGCGATCGAGAGATCTGGGGTGGGGACGTGTTCAAAGTGAGTGTGTTGTTTTTGGTTGGGGTGGAGGAAGGTATGTGGTTTGGGGTGGAAGATGATGTGTGTGAAGACAGAATCCTGTGACTATAGCCACTAAAGGTGCACAACATCATACAACATCTATCATTAGCAGCCACTGGGGCATAATTCCCTGCCAGAACAATTGGTTTTGGCCATGGCCTAGGGCCTAGCTATACATCAGACATCTATCATTTACATGTTTCCCCCCAAACATCTCTCACCCACTGCCTGCCCCTGATGCTGTTTGCATCTTCAGTCCCGAAGCATCCGGCTTCGCTATGCTTCGCTGCTTCGCTCCGCAGGAGCTCGGCTCATCCGGACACTTCGCTGGGCATCGAACAACTGGCGACCTCCGCCAGCAGCGCCTCAAGCTCTGCGTGCCGACCTAGCGAGCGTGACGGTGACTGCACGGGTCGGCTGGAGCGGAGGGAGAAGATCAAGGACTTACTGGCCAAGGCGAGCGTGCGAGCTGTTGTGTTGGAGGTGCCTGAAGGCAGGAAGTGGTCACTGTTGATGGCTGCGGGAGGAACGTCTACCTCCGAGGTCAGAAGTCCGGATTTGGAATCGAAGTGAATGAACATTGAAGGGGAAAAGACTTACAAAAAGGTTGATCAATGATCGAAGTGATCGAAGGTCAATCAAATCGGAAACCTTCCAAGAACTGCCCACCATTTTCTGTTATATATGGGTTTTCATGCAGACTCTTGATTAGTAAAACCAAAGAAGAGGTTTTACAATGCTTTACAATCCAAACGGGGGGGGTACGCTACTGGTTACATGCTGCCTGTCGACAAATATTTGGCTGGTTTAAGGCAACTTGTCGGGCCGCACATCAAAGACGAGGACCATCGCCCCGGTAAGGTCTATGAGACCTACAAGGACGCTGATGGCAAGGAGCAGATCAAGAGGGACTCCCAAAGCCGATCCGGCTACGGAACCCTCGTTGGAGGTCTATCCTCGTCCAAGGGACAGTCGACCACGTTGCTATGGTTTACATGACCAAGGCTTTCACGCAGGCACATGTCGATCTATTCCAACTTGGAGATCCAAAGGATGTGATTGGCAAAGCCAGCGCGGTTGGCTTTTCCTCCTCGGATGAGGGAATCCGCCGGCTCGAGTCGTTGTTCATCGACATTCGAGCACAAACCCCTAGTCGAGTCCTGGAGTCGAGCGACATTTCGGGCATGGACTGGAGTGTGGGCAACACCTACTAGTCATTCTATCTTGATGCTGCTGGACCTCAACAGACCATCGATTCATGGTGGCGCACGCTGGTTGGCCTTTTCTATTGTGAGGCTGACCCAATCTATGTCGTTGGCAACGTGTGCTTGATTCAAGCATCCTTCGGGACGGTGAATTCAGGCACTGCTATCACGACGTATGAGGACGGTGCTGTGCGCTACTTTGACCAAGTCATGAAGTACGGCGTTGTCGTCAATGGGAAAGCCTACTTGCTCAGTGATGGCTACGTCAGCCATCTCGACGAGCGAGATTTCAAGGAACACCCTGAAGGCGACCCGGTCGACTTTTGTGGACGGTCTATCCTCAGCGGAATTTTCCAGCTCCACAAACCGGAGAAGCTGATCGCGGGATTCATCCGACGCTGCAAAGAGTTCAGGCTTCTTGTAGACTGCCTGAAGGCCGCGCAAGACGGAAAAGGACGACTTAGCGAGGTTGTCGGCCACATCCATGATGAATGGGACAAGATCATTTCTGTCCTGGATGCTGCTGCTGTTGAGTTTCGTAAAGATGAACGTGCCGACGACATGTTTGCGCGCATCCTGAGGCTGGAGTTCAACGAGATCCACTCCGCATTTGCGCCTTGTGGGCTTGAGGAACTCGCCCATCTCGGGTCTCGCCCTACCGAGTTGTTTAACTGGGCGCAGGCCTTAGACTTCGGCTGGATGAACGATGACCGGAGATCAGATGACCGGAGGTCAGCGGCTTCTCAAGGTCTTGCAAGTTCGTCATCTAATTAGTTCGAGCTCAGCAGGACTCAACAAGCAAAACAACCAACAAGAACAGTTAGATATAATGAAGACGCAGATCAGTGCGCTTGAGAACGCAGTGAAAAACCAAAGCCGTGATACGGCCAATTTACGTAAAGATGTCCACGCAGAGTTTAAGATAGTCAGATCCGAGATAGACAGAAGGTTGCGGAGGTGAATGATTCATTCCAAGCGACCTTAACGCAGGCACTGACGCAAACACAGGAGGCCTTGCGGTCGTCCTTTCGTGAAGATTTTGACCAGCTCAAAGCTTTGCTCGGGGCACCAAGCTGCAAACGCAGTAGTGGGGACGATGCCATGGAACAGGGCTGACATTTCATGTAACCTGGTTCCTTAGAAAGCACACCCGCTCCAATCAGATATGTCTGGCAGGTGACTGTCGGGCAACCCACCACCAACAGCACCACCTGTTGTGTGCACCTAGCTCGATTGTTGTCACTAGGCCACGAAGCAGAACCAACCGCCAGGCTAGGTCCCTTGTTGTGTTTGTGCATCACCATTTGGCTGCCCGGAAGGCTCAGCCGTTCGATGATTGCCTTAACGCACAGTTGACCGGTATCCCGCAAACCTTCTGTTGGTCTGCCACCAATTCGGTTGCATGTAGGTCAGATACCCAGGTGCTCGAAGCAGTTCGCCTATGGAAAAAGAGGCTGGGTGCGTGTCGCTGTATCCGGAACTCACTTCGACATTCCACCCTGGTCAATCCAAATGTAGATGAAGCTTCTTGCTGTTTACTGACACCAATACTAGTTGAAATACGTACATATACTTTTGCCGGGGGCCTTGGTGGACTTAACGGAATAAGAATTGGCGAAGCCAAAAACCCGGGACCTGGCAATATTAGCCAGCAGATGACGTTTGTTGTACTCAACCCAACCTCATTATCAGAGCGTCAACAGGACATTGTTAATTTAGATGCGGATTGCATTTCTTTGGCCGAAACCTCGGCAACGAGTACTATACAGAAAGAATTCTCAAATTTCACACGACCCACAAAATATAACGTGGTCTGGGGACCCCCAGTTGGGCACCAAAAGACCCCAGCAAACCCATTCCAAGTGGAGAGGGCAAGGCGTGGTGAGGCCCTTGGAACGGCGTCACTGCACTCGACACCAAACCGTCAACCACGACTCGCACTCCCGCAGTGGCTAACAGACACACTACGAGTTTCTCAACGAATTGTACATTACAGATTGGGCACTTCGAGATTCTCCTTATCACTGCATACTTCTATGCGGGTAGAGCAGCAGAGATTAAGAGCAAAAGTCACCTATTACTCGCCGAAATCTACCAACACTGCGCAACAACCATGCCCTTCTTGATTGCCGCCGATTACAATATCCCAGTACGTAGCTTTCCAGCCTACAAAGCATTCCAAGAACTTAGATGCCAGGAGGCCTTCCACTTAGCGAGACATAAAACTGCAAAAGAACTGCCACCTACCTGTCGAAGAAGTACGAGAAACGACAGTTTTATAATCCATGAAATGCTTGTCCCGTGGGTCACAGATATATGGGTGGGAGAACCAGACATCTTCCCGGACCACCGCCCACTTTTCCTCCAGATGACAACTCCTGGAAAACAGACTATCTCAAAGAACTGGTTCATGCCAGCCAGCTGGGGCGATTTACCTCTGTCACGGGAGGTTTTAGATGCATGCTATTTGACCTCGCCGAAGCGTTTCACCGCGTCTCAGCAACTGATCACAGAACCAGAAATCAATCAGGCGTTTGAAAATTGGACAGCAGGAGTTGAAGATGCCGTGCAAAGATGTGTTACAAAACAACACCAAATTGACCCTATACGTTTCCCAAGACCCACTTTGGGGAAGAAATGTTACGGCAGATGTAGAGAAACCAGACTTATAGTGCAAACAGCACCTCGTGCACCTAAATACGATCCTACTGAAGGCTACAACCCACCAAACGAAGCGACAACCTGCAAACATAGACAAAAGACGAGACAAGTTCGTAGACTGGTTTCCCTCTCGCGACATCTCCAGAAGAGCTTGCGTTCATCACAATCACAGTCATACTAACATCAATTACACCAAGAGTGGAATACAATTAAGCGAGCTCAAGGATACGGTAGATCTTGGGAATCATGGTTGTTAAGCTTTCAGTATATTCCATTTGTACCGCAAGCAATCCCGAGAGCAATGGCTAGACGATGCGCTTTCGATGACCCGTATGGATGCAAATGCGTTCACCAGACAAGAACTGCGACTTCGCAAGCACCATCGCCGACACGCCCTAGAGTATAGCATTGAGCACACCAATACTTCGGGGGCATATAAGTTCATCAAGGGGAAGGACGAAGTTCTTGAACGACCTACCTTTCACACATCAATTTCAAGCCACCTTGTGTAGGTCCAGAAAAGGTGACAAGCTTGTACAGCTCGCAGAGAACATACAAGTCTCCATAGGAGCCACAATTTCATTTGGTCCGTGCCAAGCCATTGCTAAAGCAGTCCAGGGAAACCGGGTCCGCCTAACGTCTATCCAGGGCCAAGTCCCTGCCGTAGGTGAATTTGCCGTCCATTCTCATGCATACGATGTTGATGATATGTCACAACTATTTCATAACTTTTGGGCACAAGTTTGGCTTCGTGACTCTCCTGAAGAACAGCAATCAGACGAAGCGTGGCAAGACGTGCTTGGTTTCCTAGATAACCATTTGCCCACCCACCCTACCTTGCAGATTCGTTTCGACGAGCCCGAGCTTCTTTGGCAATCAGTTCATAGACTAAAGCCATATAAGGCAATAGGGGTTGACGGGTGGCGAGCAGAAGAACTACAACTTTTGTCCTGGAACATGGTCGCCGACCTAACAAAACTCTTGGCGGCGGTATGTGGCCATGGCCTCACAGCCAGACAAATGCAAGCCAGAACAATGATGTTCGCAAAACGTGATAGTCCAACATCAATCTCAGACGGTCGCCCAATTACAATTCTAGGGTACATTGCCCGCCTCACGTCTAAATTAATCTCGGCTCAGATTTTGACTCAATGGGCCTCCTATTGGCCTCCACAGATAAGGGGCGGGCTACCATCAAGGTCCGCGAGAGATTTAAGCTTGATGCAAATGTCTGTCTTTGAAACGGCAAAGACCCAGCGCACCGCTTGGTGTGGTTGGACAATGGATTTGGTCAAGGCCTTTAACCTTATACCTAGGCGGGTTACTCGACACATACTCACCATCTTAGGCTTGCCTGCATATGTCATCGACTGTTGGTTCAAGTCCTTAAGCAGATTAACCAGAGCCTTACAATGCGGTAAAAGCCTTGGAGTCGCCCGACCCTCAACCACCGGATTGCCGGAAGGTGATTCCATGTCGGTCGTCGGCGTGTTGGCAGTTAGTTATGCTTTCCATACATGTCTGAAGAGCCCACAAGTCCATCCATACACCTACGCAGCGGACCTACGCAGATAATTGGTCATTTATGGC